ATTCAATATAGATTGTTTGCTTAGAGTATTCAAGTATGAATCTCCTCAGTTTAACAACCACAAAGTGTGTGTGTGTAATATGAACACTTGAACATTAATTTTAGTGGATACTTATATTTGAGTAGACATGATTTATTTAATAGGTAGGATTCAAACCTAGATCACCATTGGCAGGAGAAATACCCGTTAGATCCAACATGCTTATAACAATTCAGCCATGAAAGACATTTGCTGATCAAGCAAGGATGAATAGTGCCTTTAAGTGAAATCCTTCTTGCTATAGATTCAAAATTTCATATCTGCTCAGTTTCTTATCCAGAGGAAACATTTTTCTTTAATAAGATTTCTCAAATATTTAGGCCAGTAGCAAAAATAAATACAGAGCATCTACTCAATTATGAGTATCTACTAAAAATAACATTTAATTGATAAAATCTGTTGGATTAATACATAAAAAAAAATCCATTACTTCTTTAGAACTAGAGATTTGTGTGTGTGTATATATATATATATATATATATATATATATATATAAAAGGTATAGGCGTTACCATAAAATCAGACATTGCTAACCCCTATCATCTCTTCTGAAAGTAATAAATGATCACATTATGACACTAGCCTTAGAACTCAACAACTCCTCTGCCACTCTTGTAAGCTGTTACACCCCAACCATAAACACCTGTGTCAGAAATTGATGACTTGTGATCAACTACAATCAGTCATTTCCAAAGTTCCACACAGGGACAAACATATCCTTATGAGAGAGTTTAATGCACGAGTCAGTGCTGACCATCAGACATGGCCTGTTGTCCTTGGCACTCAGTAGGTTGAATTATAATGGGTTACGACTTTTCTCTCTGCCAAGAATTCGATCTATCACACATTATCAACAGTCCAATCACCACAAAATGACTTGGATGCATCCCAGATCCAAAGATCGGCATATGATCGAGTAGATTATCACCAAGTAATGTGATGTGATAGACTTCAATATCACTAGCTTTTTTCACAACACTTGCTATCTTTCAGACCATGTGCTACTATGTAGCAAAGTATCCTTCCAACTTGTACGCAAGAAACCTCTCGTTAGCACTATGGTTCCTAAATAAATCGACAACTTACCCCTGAATTCTGATGTTAAGACATACTGGATTCAAGGCTGGATTCAGTTGTAATCTCAGAAGACTTTGAATCCTCCTGGAAATCTCTCAGAGATACTCCAGCTCCCTTGAAGTTCTAAGAATTCCCATAAAGAAGCATCAAGATTGGTTTGCTGTAAATGATGCTCATACTGAATGTCTTGAGAAAATGCACAATTTGCACAAAATATTCATAAACAACAAAAATTGTCCATCAAAAAGGTGCATATATAAACAGTGCAAGCAGGAAGTGCAAAGTGCTCTTAGAAAAATGAAAGAGTCCTAGTGGTCTGCTAAGACTGTGGAACTCCAGGTGGCAGCTTACAGTAAAGATTCCAAAGCATTCTATGAAGGTCTTCAAAAGGTGTACAGCCCACAAGAAGATGGAATTTCACCGGTTCTATCATCTGATGGTAACACACCAGACAAGATGGAAATTTTATCAAAATGGAAAGAACACTTTGAAAGTGTCCTTAATTCCACCTCTGCTATCAATGACAACGTCATTGCCTCATTTCATCAGCAACCAGAAATTTCCCAGTTGTCTCTTAAGCCAGGATTTCATCAAGCAATCATCATCAAACAAAGCCTCTGGAAAAGATGCTATTCTCCCTGAAATTTTTATATATGGTGTTAAGACACTGGTTAAAAATTTACTTGAGCTTTTTAAAGCCATATGGAAAGTTGGTTCTGTTCCACAGGGCTACAAAGATGCTTGCATAAAACATCTATTCAAGAACAAAGGCAAAAGGTTGTATGTGATAATTCCTGTGACATTTCACTTCACAGGCAAAATTCTCGCTTGGGTTATTCTCAACAGAATTATCAAATATCTCATTGATGACATTATTCCAAATCTCAGTGTGGCTTTTGATCAGTTTGCAGAACCAAGGATATGATTTTTTCACTTCATCAGGTTGCTGAGAAAGTTACGAAAAAGAACCATGAACTCTAAATCGTCTTCATCAATCTGACCAAAGCATTTGACACTGTAAACACAGCACAAAACAAGGTTGTGTCATGGCTCCTGTACAGTTTGCTTTCTTCTTTTCGGTCATGCTATACCATGCTTTAGTGATCTTGACATGGGTGTGAAATTTGAATTCCACATAAGTGGTGGCCTCTTTAACCATCAAAGTTTTAAAGCAAAATTGAGGACTTGTGCAAGCATTATTTATGATCTTTTGCTTGCTGATGATGCTGCAATTGTGGCCACCTCAACCAAAGAAGCTTCAAGGACAAACTGAAAATACAACTTAAATACTGCAGACATCCCTATGGAGGAGTTCAAACTGGAAAAACACCTGTCATCAAGTTATCATAACTTTGAAAAGAATTGTCTCAACTATTTGAGAATT